CTCATCCTCTTTTTCTTTTCCTCCTTCACCTACTCACATTCTCAGTAAGTAAGTAAGTAAGTAAATAAATAAATAAATAAATTATTTTAAATCTCACTCTGAAAGAATTACTTTTAAATCAATATATGGCTCTACCCATTACCTTTCTATACGGTGGAGCAAATTATATGCTTTTTGTTATATTTTAGATTAACCTTTTTAACCAGTTCTTAAAAGTCATTTTTGTTACTTGTGGAAATTTTGGTCATACTAATGTTCTGAAGCTCCTACGCTTAGTATGTTCTAATGTAGGTAATGTTACTTTCTATTGTGCACTCCTATTAACAAGTATTTGTTTCTTTGCAACTAAAATATTGTGTTTGACAGTAGGTAATAGTCAAGGAAATTAAGATGCATCCCTTTTTTGAGAATCCATAATCACAAATAATACAAGGTGAAGAATTGGTCAACTAAAGGGTGGGGGTCAAGAAGAAGATGACAGAAATGCATAACATATTAAAATAACTAGACCCAAATAACAATATGGAGCTTTGGTGTTTGGCATGTGATACTTCTAAATACTAGACCAGTAGTATATTTTTAGTTGAGATATAATTGACATATAACATTATATATATTACTTTCAGGTGTATAATATGATTCAATATATGTATATATTGCAAAATGATCACCATAGTAAGTCTAGTGAACATCCATCATCATACATAGTCACAATATTTTTTCTTGTGATGATAACACTTAAGATCTACTCTCAGCCATTTTCAAATATGCAAATATTATTAACTATAGTCACCATTCTATACATTACATCCCCAAGACTTACTTGTTTTATACTTTTATACAGAAAGTTTGTACCTTTTTACTACTTTTACCCATTTCACCCACCCCCAAACTATACGGAATTTGGTACAAAGGAAGCAAAGAATAATTTTGATCCAACATGACATCAGAACAAAAATATAAATTAAATCTATAAGCTCTTTGGTTATAAAGAAATTCAATAACTTTAAAAAATAAAATGTATTCTATGCAATTTTTTTTTAGCTAAGTTCTTTTTGAGTATGGAGCATACTAGACTTTTCTCTATATAACTATGTGGTCAAACTGCTGCAACACACAGAAGAAAACTGGGAGACAATTCTACATGGGCCTCTCATGTTTCTGCTTGTCTTACAAGCAGAGGTATTACCTGCCTTATACTTGACTACCTTTTTAAGGATGTTTGCATAACAAACAGCCTTGGAAGATAGAGATAGTGTCACTCTCTGAACAGAAGAAGGTTTGCTCAGTGTCTAGCGTAACAAAGGTAATGTCTTCCTCTGCGGGGGAAAAAAGGTTAAACAGGTTTGCTAGAAGCTCATTAAAAAAGATTTTCCCTAGCTTGAGGTTCCTCAGCCGTAGTACAAATCCACCGTGTATATATCTAACCAGACCACTCCATGTCTTAAGGGGATGGGGATTCCTGGAACCAATACAAACATGAAGCTCATGCTGCATGATGTGCCATTAGCAGTAAGGTCTTTTGTTTCTGACCGAAAAATCTTTTGTCTTCTGACAGCAAACATGAAACTGTGGTAAACTAAACTGCTACTTTGCAAGTAAGGGAAACATCTCAGACCCTTCACAGTTCTTTTCTTTTTAACTGAAGTTTAATTGACATATTAGTTTCAGGTATACAACAGAGTTATTCTATAACTATATGTCTAGTTACCATCCATCACCATACAGTTATATCCTCACAGTTCTTGACATTGAAAATCTGTTTCTTACCTCATCACTGTGTATTTTAGGATCCATTTTAGTAGATTATGGCACTTAGTAGCTGTTTTCACTGTCTACTTGCAATCTGGGGACTATCAAAATTTTGACAATTTATAGGAAAAGGGTATTCATTCTGGTCCTATAGCTAACCAACTGTGTGATTTAAACTTCTAATGAACAGAATGGAAATAGCAAAGTAGCAATATAACTAGATCATTTGCTTTTCCTTTCCTTCCATTTTCATTCCTATGAGGTACAAATGCATTATAGGATTGAATTTATATACTTAACTAAAGTACATTTAATTAAAATTGAGCATATTTTAAGCTCCCAAATATGCACAAAGGAAGTTCATACTATACACTATTAACATTTGAATATTTTTAACACTACCATACAAAATAGTGATATAATTTAGTTAAAAAGGTCACACTAGCTTTTGTTTGCTAAAGAATTATCAGAATAGCTTTAAAATCTGATTACTCACTACATACCTATTGGAATGACTAAAATTAAAAAAAAAACTGATAAAACCAAGTGCTACAGAACATGTGGGACATTCTCATACATAGCTGATGGGAATACAAAATGGAACAGCTACTTTAGAAATCAGTTTGGGGAACTCTTAAGTTAAATACATTCAAGATGACAGAGACATTCCACTTCTAGTTAACCTATGTAAATTAAAACTTAACACTCACACAAGAATTTATACTTGAATGTTTTTAACAGCTTAATTCATAATTGCCAAAACAGGATACCCAATTGTCCTTCAGTGAGTGTATGGGTACAACTATGGCACATATAAACAATGAATACTAGTCAGCAATAAAAGAGCACAACAGTATGGACAAATTCCAAAATGCATTATGCTGGGTAAAAGTAGCCAGTCTCAAAAAGTTCCAGGCTTATAGGATTCCATTTGTTGGACATCATTAAAAAAGCAAAACTACTGGGATGGAATGCTTCATTTCCAGTGATTCCTGGGTTAAAGTCAGGGTCAGGGAAGGATCAACAACACAAGGACAATACTCAGGGGATGATTTGAAGGTCAAGGAATTGTTCAGTATTTGGTGAACAAACTGGTCATGGTAGTGATTCCATGAAGCCACACATATGCTAAAATTCATAAAAACTTTATACCAAAAGAGAGTTAATTTTACTGTGTGTAAATTTAAAAATCAATGCACTACTTCCTGGGCATGAGGATAAGGTGCCATTCTCCTCTACTCTACATCCCTTAACCCTAGACTTGAAAAAGACTGCTTTCTGTGAGGAGAAAGGCGGAACAGACTAAAAGAATGTCTTTGAGGTGGAAATTCAAGGAGTTTGCTACAACATTATGAACATTTATCTTAAAAAGTTGGATTATGAGATAATGATCTATAATTTTAGAGAAATGCAAAGTGAAAAGGTACTGAAGAAAAAGGCAACTAAACCTTAAAATTAAAGAATGGATTGTCTCCCTAGTATTCACTTCTATTCTATAGTACCATAACATAATAATTATATGTTCATTTAATTTGCTTTTTTTGTATGTTTCGGCTACACACAAAATGACTGAAGAAAAAGTAATTTAATTTTAAGAAGATATAAACCTATCTTTATTATATTATTCTAAACCTAAAATAAAATAAAAGGGATAAATCAGTCGGCTACAGTGTCTTTATCAAAAGATCTAAATCATGAAAAATTTCTTAAAAGTCTGGGGGAATCTAATATTGGAGTTAAATATAAAGGAAAATTAATACATTTAAAGAAATGATATTCTGCATATTTTATACTCCGTACTTGTCTCAGCTCGCCTGTTTTTTATCCTCCTGACTGCTCCCTTTCTGCCTTTTATTGTTTCTACCCTTTTCTTCCCAGACCATATGCCACAGCCTTTTCACCCTCAGTGCCTTTTAGAAATTTGCTGCAAGCCTAACTTTTCTATCTGCTTTTAGGAATGACTGCATAAAATATAATTCATTTCAAAGACTGAATTAAAACATGGCTAATGGTCAAATTAAAATATTGTGGTGCTCTCTAAAACATGACAGTAAGGAATATAAGTAGTCTAATGGGATGTTTAACATGTATCCAATTTAAATACTAACACTAAGCTACACTTACATTTAAAACAAGCATGTATGGCAACCAAATGATCACTTTTTCAATATCTCCCTGCTAATATGGACTTAGAATGTTTAAAATTTAATAAAGTCAAAAATATTAAATTTTATAAAATATGCATACATTGACAAAACATAGTGCCCTAACCAGTCTGTGAATATATTTTGGGGGCTACATTATTATGAATTCTGCAGTTTATTAAATGTATACCCTAACTTCCAGATACTTCATTGTCTAAGAAAAGAATAACTTCCCTATCTTGGGCCTTTGGGCTGGGATTATGTAAATAAGTCATCTACTGAGATTGAATTAGAAATAAGGTATTTGAGAAGACAACAGTCCTAGTTTTTAATGTTATTGAAAAATGGATGGTCTTCCATTTACTTTTGTCCATTTATGAAACAAGAGTGACCTGGTAAACTCTGAAGTAGCAGTGTAAGCCACATGCTATGAAAAAACAGTTCTATAAAAAATTCCTTGAGGCAAATGAACCAATATTACCTTTCTGCTGCTTTGGCTACTCACCTAAAAAACGATGGCCAAAAATGAAAACTTGGAAAAGAGGTTGAAGAGTAGAAAGTCAAATGTCTGGTATTTGGAAAACTGAAAAGGTGGGTAATGGTGACTCCTCCTCCCAAAAACATTCTCTGCATTACAAAGTATCTATTTGTTTCTTTTCACCCTTTAGAACTATTCTGAACATCAAAAACAAATACTTTAAAATTCCCAATATTATTCTAACAAACTTCAGAAGCTTCCAGTGTTGGAATTTGGAAGTACTAAGAAATTATAGAGCCATAGGGTCTTACTACTTCAGAAGAGAGTGTAAAAGAACTCACATAAGTTTTTCAGACTGAAAAAAAATTCTTTTTTTAAATTAAGGTATTTACAATAGCATTTAAACTATAATTTGTAAAATATAGCTAAGCCCTAACAACATGAATTTTTACAAATGAGAAAAAAAATGTCATACTGACATAAAATCAGTCCTTTAAATGCCTCCAATAAGTTAAATTATAACATTTTTTACAGAGAATACATAAACGATAATTCTAAGGTTAATATAATGTAATTTTTATTAGAATATGAAATTTAGCAAATATTTTCTCCTGCGTTTGGGAAGAATGAATTCTAGTTCCTCATATTAAGACACTATTTCATTTGTACATGATGTGAATTGTTGTTATTATTCAGTCTTTCCTGAAACTTGTTCAGCCCTAAGAAAATCTGTTTCATACTTCTTTCTGAGATTACTTAAATATGTTCGTAAACTGTCTGGATCCAATTTAGAGTTGCGAGCAGTTTGAACAAGCCTAGTGGCTAGATGGTACACAGCTCTCTGTCTTTCCATCTCAGGGGTACTTCTTTGGTTTTGCTGTTTTTGAAAAAATATAGATAAAAAGTAAAATATGGTTACCATGACTTTACTTTAAAATTTTGTCAATTTTCTCTTTCTTTCATAGAAATACAGAACTCAAAGGTAACTAACTCCTTTGGGTAAGTCAAGTCCATCCACCTAGTACAGCATATACCAAAAAACATTTTTAAAATATTGTTTTGAAAGAATGAACTTTTTCATGAGTATTTACTACCTTATGACAGATTCTTATATTCTTGAAAATCACTTTTGAATGAAAAAAATCCTGTAAATAGGTCAAATTTCTCACTCAACATACTTGCTCATTGTTATGCAGTATTTATTTTATTTTTTTTTAAAGTATTTTTTTAATGTTTTATTTATTTCTAGGAGAGAGAGAGACAGCGCGAGGAGGGGAGGGTCAGAGAGAGAGGGAGTCACAGACTGAAGCAGGCTCCAGGCTCTGAGCTGGCAGTCAGCACAGAGCCCGACGCGGGGCTCGAACCCACAAACCGCGAGATCATGACCTAAGCGAAAGTCGGACGCTTAACCGACTAAGCCACCCAGGCGCCCCATGCAGTATTTATTTTAAATGTCACCCAAGAGTACTACTCTGCTATCTCCTACTTTAATTCCCCAATAGATAAACTGGTGGGCAGAATGGGTCATCAGTAAATTGCTTGTCCCTCAATAGATTTCATACATAGAAACTGCTACAGCCTAAGACAAAATACTGCCTGAGGGGTAAATTACATTTTGAAAATAAGCACTATAAATAGCTGCTTGAAATTATGCCTTGATTCTTAACAAACTATACCTAAGAATACCCAAGAAACAATGTTTAAAACAGGAAATTTCTAATACTTTAGAAAGCCTTTAGATATTCAGTCTTTGAAAAGTTGTTCAGGGTTGGGAGTATAACTGGAAAATTATTCATTCACCTGGTTTCCTGAGCTAGATAGAAGAATTAGCATTGTCAATCTTAAACTGTTAATGGCAAGTCAGTGAGTTTCCCTTTAATAAGGGAAGTAAAATGCCCCCCAACTCTTTTTTAATAGCAAGGAGTTCAAGATATTTTTCTTCGTTCACTAGAAGAAAATAGAATAAAACTCCATGAGGTAGAATAAAATTATCATTTATTCACCCATCTATCTATTTGATACACTGAATGACCGACTATCAGCTTATTATTTAAATAAGAAACAGTTCTGAATACCTATTATCCTCTATATTCCAGGTCCCAAATCTTGTGTTAATGTCATGGGGGATACAAAAATGTCTACCCAACATGGCAATGGGACTCCAGTAGCTCAATGAAAGAGATATATTATTATAGTGAAAGAGACATATTCATAAGTAACTGGTTTAGGAAATTATGATAAGTCTCATGAAAGAGATACAAAATTCTCAGAGGAAGTAGAACTCATTTTAAATAGGATGGAGTATTTGGAATGACTCTTGATAAATAGAGAAACAAAGTAGGAAGAGCATTCTAGGTGGAGGAAAGAGCTAGAACACACACATTAGAAATCCTGGTGCACAGGGGCGCCTGGGTGGCTTAGTCGGTTAAGCGTCTGACTTTCGCTTAGGTCATGATCTCGCGGTTCGTGGGTTTGAGCCCCGCGTCGGGCTCTGTGCTGACTGCCAGCTCAGAGCTGGAGCCTGTTTCAGTCTGTGACTCCCTCTCTCTCTGACCCTCCCCTGCTCACGCTGTCTCTCTCTCTCTCTCCTAGAAATAAATAAAAACATTAAAAAAAAAAAAGAAATCCTGGTGCACAACTTCTTACTTGACACATCCCCAAAAGCAATGGAATCAAGAGCAAAAATAAATGATTGGGACCTCATCAAGATTAAAAGCTTCTGCACAGCCAAGGAAACAACCCAGAAAATTAATAGGCAACCAACGGAATGGGAAAAGATAGTTGCAAATGACATATCAGACAAAGGGTTGATATCCAGAATCTATAAGGAACTCACCAAACTACATGCCTGAAAAACAAACAACCCAGTGAAGAAATGGGCAGAAGATATGAACAGACACTTCTCCAAAGAGGACATCCAGATGGCCAACAACACATGAAACGATGCTCAGCATCCCTCCTCATCAGGGAAATACAAATCAAAACCACACTGAGATACCACCTCACGCCAGTCAGAGTGGCTAAAATGAGCAAATCAGAGAACTCTAGATGCTGGCGAGGATGTGGAGAAACGGGCACCCTCCTACACTGGTGGTGGGAATGTAAACTGGTACAGCCCCTCTGGAAAACAGTGTGGAGGTTCCTCAGGAAACTAACAATAGAACTCCCCTAGGACCCAGCAATAGCACTGCTAGGAATTTACCCAAGGGATACAGAAATGCTGAGGCATAGGAGCACATGGACCCCAATGTTCATAGCAGCACTCTCCACAATAGCTAAAACATGGAAAGAGCCTAAGTGTCCATCAACAGATGAATGGATCAAGAAGATGTGGTTTATCTATACCATGGAATACTACATGGCAATGAGAAACAATGAAATCTGGCCATGTGTAGCAACATGGATGGACCTTGAGGGTGTTATGCTGAGCGAAATAAGTCAGGCAGAGAAGGACAAATATCATATGTTTGCACGTATAGGAGGATTAGGAGGAACTTGACGGAGGAACAAGGGGGAGAAGAAGGGCGGAAATGGTGGGGGGAAGGGAGAGAGGCAAACCATGAGAGACTCTTGAATGCTGACAAAAACTGAGGACTGATGGATGTTGGGGGGAGAGGGGGATGGGCATGGAGGAGGACACTTGTGGGGATGAGCACTGAGTGTTATGTGGAAACTAATTTGACAATAAACTATTTGTAAAAAAAAAAAAAAAGAATGGAAATTTAACCTAAAAAAAAAAAAAAAAGAAATCCTGGTGCACAGTCAGGTCAAAATGATGGAATGATGATTAATTCAATGTGGCAGAAATGTACACTATAGTTAAACTCAGAACTGTTATGTAGGGTTGGGGAAGTAAACAAAGGGAGATCATAAAGCAGCAGTTAACAAAATTTAGTGTGTTGAAGAATCATCTGAAGACTGGTTAAAAATGTAAATTCCTAAGCCACAAGAAATCCTTGAAAATATGAGATGATTCCCCGTGTCATGGGTGATTCTGATGTAGGTAATTTTTTTTTTTAGATATTTGTTTATTTGTTTGTTTATTCATTCATTCATTCAGTTGAGAGAGCAAGAGCTTGCACACATGCAAGGAAGGCGAGGAAGAAGAGGAAGAAGGAGAGAGAATCTTCAGCAGGCTTCATCCCCAGCGTGGAGCCCAATAGGAGGAGGCTTGATCACACAACCGGAAGATCATCATCTGAACTGAAATCAAGAGCTGAACTTTTAACTGAATGAGCCACCCAGGTGCCCTCTGACATAGGTAATTCTAAGACTATATTTTGAGAAATAATCATAGAAGACTTTTAACACTAGACTAAGCAGTTTGACTTTCATTTGGTAAAAAACAACCAAAAGTTTCTAACAGGGAAACATGATAAACACTATGTTTAGGAGTCAATCTGATAGAAGTATGCAGGATAGACTGGAAAAGAGAGAGAATCTACCGTTCAGTCCTTATAAGAGGTGATTAAGGATTCACAGATGATCCTAATGAGTCACTAGGAGATTTGGAAGTAAAGAGATGAGAAGATTTTTCAGATGATATATTTAATTATGGTCCTAGTAAAGAGTGAAAACATAAATTGAGATTTCGAGAAGAAATATGGAGGAAAAAATGTATAGATTTAAAGTCAAAAAGAAGTGAAAACAGAAGTTGAGGAAAGGATGAGCTCACCAAGAATACAGTTTTAAACAAAGAAAGTTTAAACCTTAGGAACAATTCCATTTAATAAGTGGAATGATAAAAAGCACTGGTGAGGCACCTGGGTGGCTATGTTAAGCATCTGACTTCAGCTCAGGTCATGATCTCACACTTTGTGATTTGAGCCCCTCATCAGGCTATGTGCTAACAGCTCAGAGACTGGAGTCTGCTTCAGATTCTGTGTCTCCCTCTGTCTCTACCCTTCTCTCTCTCTCTCTCTCTCTCTCTCTCTCTCTCTCTCTCTCTCTCCCCCCCTCTTAAAAATAAATAAACATAAAAAATTTTTTTAAAGTGCTGTTATGAGAACAAAAGGAGAGGTAACCAGAGGTAGGAGAATGAAGATATCCAGGAGAGGACAGTTCTCCAGTGGCTAAGACAGGGAAGAATTGTGAAAAGAAAAAGAAGGATAGTGTCAAATAACACAGAAAGACCGGGGAAGATGACTAGTGAAAAAAAGTCATAGGAGTTTATCATTAGTTGGTATTTACAAAGAAAGTTTCAGTGGAATAATGACAAGATCCAGTTTGCAAGTGGAAAATGGAAGAAGCAAATAGCTATTACTCTTAAGATGTTGGCAGTACAAAGAAGAGAAATATCATTTGAGAAGTAAGGTTAAAAAGAAAGATTTCTTAGGGAAAGACTACGTAAGAAAAAGAAAAGCCAGTGAACAAACACTAAGGATACAAAGAAAAGAAAGGAAGCAAGGGGCACCTGGTTGGCTCAGTTGGTAGAGCATATGACTCTTAATCTCAGGATTGTAAGCTCAAGACCCACATTGGGTATAGAGATTACCTTAGAAAGGTAAAGTAATTTTTTTTAATGGGGCACCTGACAGGCTCAGTCAGTATAGCATGCAACTCTTGATCTTGGGGTTGTGAGTTGGGGCCCCATATTGGGTGTAACATTACTTAAAAAATAAAATCTTAAAAAAAAGAGAGAGAGAGAGAAGAAAGGAAACTGATTGGAGGTGGAAAGAAGGTAGAAAAGCTAACTTCAAATAAGTTGAAAGGTAATCTCTTCCTCTGAGATAGAAGGGAAGAGAACTGGGTAAAAAACAGAAATTCCAAAATATATTTTTTAAGGAGAAAAAGTTCAAGGTCTCATCAAGATAACCTCCAGTCTCTCAAAAAGCATAGGAGGTGAAATAAATTTTTTAAAAAATATTTAAAAGATGGGGGGGGGAACGCCTGGGTGGCTCATTTGGTTTAGTGGTCTGACTCTTGATTTCGGCTCAGGTCATGATCTCATGTTTAATGGATTCAGGCCTCTCACTGGGGCTCCTTGCTGACAGTACAGAGCCTACTTGGGACTCTCTCTCTCTGCCCCTCCCCTGCTCACTCACTCACTCGTTCTCCTTCTCTCTCTCAAAATAGATAAATAAACTTAAAAAACACAGGAGGTGAATTTTCTGTAGACAGCGAGGATATTGAGGGTTTAGGAAGAGTAGAAATGTTTTGAAAGAGTTAATTAAGTTAAAGAAACTCTACAGAGATCAATAAAAGGGGTAAAAACTATCCAGTACAATATTGAACTAAAGGTAGAATATATGACTTTACAGTAGATAAAATTAGCTTGTACTGAATATATTTAGAGCATCATTATTAGGAAAGCTAAAGCCTACAAGGTAATTGGAGACGGCTTGCCATAATTGGAATTTGGCAAGACGAAGTCTGAAGAATCAGGAAACGAGAGGTCTTCAGAAGTACAACACTGTTAGAAGTGCTGAAGAGATTCAATTGGGGGATTAGGCAAGTAAGGTCATAAAGATAGTCAAAGAGCTCAAGAGATTGAAGGAATGCAATAAAAACTGAAAGTAGGTTAAGAGAGAACAAAAGACAAAGGGAACTGTTACTACTAAATAAAATGTCATAATGCACCTAGCTTTCAGTTTACGGAACACACTGCATTCTTAAAGCATAAAGCAACTTGACTCAAAAAAAAAGATTTCCAAATTGTGAATCAATAGATGTAAGTTCAGTGTTGAATCTACTGCTTCCTAACAAAACCTCTGTGAACCTCTGCTGTAAAAATGTGAAAAAAATAACACCTTTATTATATATCTTATATTAGAAAGACCTAACTTCTTCATGAAGGGTTATACAGCTTATATATGGTAATAGATAAAAGAGGTTTAAAAACTATTTAAAAAGATATGAAAGTGTGGTGCACAGTGATTTTTAACACTTATTTTATATAGATTTATTTTCTCATCATAAAGTTAGTGCAGCAATAAGGATAATAGGAACCGAACTGTTTAATTTTTGTCTACTATCTTATTAGTTGGGTTTGCTGGGAAAAGCTGAAATAGATCAAACCAAAAAAGTTGTGAAAAGTAAAAAGCGTTCACCTTATTTAGGATTATGCTTTTTATGTTATTAATTATTAATATTAATGATTATATATTGGAAAACCAATTCTTATTCCTACAAAGTTTCTTACCAAAATTTGTCTGGTAATTTGAGTTGTGATTTCTTTGGCATCCAAGACAATTGATGGTGGGAGTGATGATACCTCTGCAGCTTGTAATCCTAAAATTATATACAACAGGATTTCAATATGTTACCGTGGATTTTTGTTTATTATTTGAGCAGTAATAATCTTTTCTTCACAGCTTTAACCTTCCATTCTATAGGCATTTCTGAACTGCGTAACAATTCTCAAAATTGGGTTTTCTGAGGTTCTGGATGACAGTTTCCCAATTATAGGATATAATTAGTTGTCCAGGACATATGACAAATTAGAATATTACTTGCTTTTCAACATACTTCTGAGATAGCCAAGAAAACATGATAGGGAAGAAAAAGGGGGCAATCAGAAAATTGAATAATAACATTGAAATTCCAACCACAAATGCAGTTGGCTAATAGAAGGTCAAAGGATATGAGCTTTGCAGGGGTTAAGAGATAACCCTAGTCACAGACAAAACCCTACAGCTGAGTGTTCATCTTTTTAGCAGATCACTAAGAGAGCGATTTCTCAGAAGACATAACTGTGGATGACCATTCTTCATGTAAATTCCAAGTACAATCTAGTATTCTCCTGTTCCCTGAGCTTAATTTTATTGTATAAGTGCCATACAAACCTTTTACTGTGTGCTAATAGTTTATTGAATATACTACTTTAGAGGCAATAGAAACAACACTAACACATTTATTAAGAAGTCACTAATTCCTAGGTACTATGTTAAGCAGTTCATATTTGATCATTCATGTAATCTTCATAAGCCCTATATATAGGGAAAATTATCCCCATGTTAATAAATGAAATTAAGGTCTATGAAAATATGTGATATAAACTAAGTAATGCAGTTGATTTCCCATTTCAGATAGCAAAACAAAGATGCCTTTTTTTTACCCCCTCACAAGGATCACATTCATAGCTAAAATAATTTTAGGGGGGAGCCTGGGTGGTTCAGTCGGTTAAGCATCAGACTTCTGATTTCAGCTTAGATCATGATCTCAAGGTTGTGAGAATGAGCCCATTTAGGCTCATGCTGGGTGTGGAGCCTGCTTAAGATTCTCTTTCTCAATATCTCTGCCCCTCCCCCACTCACATGCATGCACTTTCTCTCTCAAAAAATAAAATAAATAAAATAATTTTAGGAACTTTATATGTATAGGTCAATTGAAAATTTTCCGAATCCAAGAGATTTTATACATGTCACATGTTTTAGATAGAAAACATCTAATCAAGTTTACAAATATCATATGGCTTGGTAATACATTCGATTTTAAGACTTTAGATTTAATTATCAAGATCCCTGCAACTGAAGAAAACAGATATTACTGAAAAAGTGTATAAGAAATACACAATCTTCAATTCATTTATAACTTGCAAATGTAGGCTAAATTACATTTTGCTAAGAATAGAAACTAATACTTCTAGGGCTTTCATGTGTTATAATTCTACATAGGTACTGATTACTACAAGTTTAAATATAAGTTTAATATATATAAAATGCGAGCTTGACATAGAAAACACAGTCTTAGAGAATATAAGTGCTCAAAAGAATGACAGGAAAAGTTGCTTAGACTGACAACTAAGTAAAGGGGAGAATTATGAGAATATGTAGTGTTTCAATAAGTAGATATTATATAGATATACTTTCTACATGCAATACCATAATTTTTTTCTTCTGTGAGTCCCCTAGAAAGTTTGTACGTATACAAGATTGCTTCTTTATTTCTTGAGTTGTTCTTTACATGCTGAACTTCAAAATGCATGTTTTCCACATTAGGATACAGGACCTCTATATGACATAGTTCCAGGAAATGTGTAGCAAACAGTGTAAATGCCTAGAATATGTAACAACAAATATCAGTATTTTCAAAATGAGCTAGAAAAAAAATTTAGTTTGATTTTCCAAGTAGCTTGGCAGAGATGTGAGAATGAAACTAATAATGGTCAATTCATTTCAAAATGTTTTGAAAATTTATATTCAATGAAAGAAACATTTATTATCTTTATACATTACATGTATGTTACATTACAGGAAAGGGAACAAATCTAAAATTAAAATCCTAAAATAAATCTGAAGATATTTAAAAGACAAAGTTTACCAGAAATAAAGCCGTTTAGTGAACTAATCATTTATTAGAAAAGTAATCTACAAACAAAATCATAACATTTCTCTCAACTTTAAAAAAACTTTAAAAGTAGCTTCCCTCCATATAACTATTATTTGGAAAGTGGAATCAATGGTTTGTCCTAGGTATTCAAAACTGCAAAGGCTTTGCATTTTTAGATTTGCACTGTGTTTGAGTTAGGTACTTAAAGGAAAGAAAGAAAAGATTGAGAATAATGCTTAAGACAAAGATTCTCAAACTTTAGTAATCCCCTGGAGAGCTTATTAAAGATGCAAATTCTTGGTACTTATCTCCCCAAATTCCCAATCAGTAGTTGTAATGTGGAATCCCAAGAAACTCTATTTGCTGGAACTATTTAAGTGATACTGAGGCAGATGGTTCAAGTGACTTACAATCACCACATGGTTTTCAGCCCTGAATTACTAAACTAGATATATGAATAATTGGTTATGTTAAGATATTATCTATGAAAACTATAAATATGTGATTAGTGGAAAAATAAAATGTTAAGATATTAAAAATAAAATTTCTGGCTGGCAAATGGCATCAACCATGTAAAAGGGGTTTCAAGTGGTATATGACAGAAAAATGAAAAATCACAACTACTAAATAAATCAAAAGGGGAATAAAACAAACCTAATTTATAATGCAACAGGAAAATATTTAGAAATCCAGTAAGCTATTTGGAAGCTAAGGACCATGTTCATAATAACATTAATGTCCTCAAAATTTATGTATCAAACCAACCTATTATAGTAAATTACAAAATAATAATTTAAGCTTCTTAAAAATAAACAGCAATAATTATATTTTTACTAAATTATTTATACTGGTAAAGGATATTGTTATGGACTATATGTTTGTGTTCCTTCAAATTCAAATGTTGAAATCTAACCTCCAATGTGATAGTATATAGGAGGTGGGGCTTTTGGGGGGAAATCAGGTTGTGAGGGCAGAATCCTCAGGAAGGGAATCAGTGCTCTTTTAAAAGTCACCCCAGAGAGCTCTTTTGCCATCTCTACCATGTGAGGATACAATAAGAACTTGACAGTCTACAAGCTGGTAAAAAGGTTCCCCCTACCATACGGAATCCTGATCTCAATATTCTAGCTTCCAGAACTGTGAAAAATAAATTTCTGCTGTCTATAAGCCACCCAGTGTATGGCATTCTGTTATAGCAGCCCAAACTAAGGCACGTATTCAAAAGTATTGGTAAAAGCATTATTTTCAGCTATTACATAATATCTCAGAAATGGATACTGTCTTTACTATTCTCTCAAGAAAACAGAACCAATAGGAAATATATGTATCTCCTACCATGTAAGTGTGCATATCAATATTGATTGATTATACACACACACACACACACACACACACACAAAGATTTATTTTAAAGAATTGGCTCATGTGATTATGGAGGATGACAAATTCTCAGATCTACAGTCAGCAAACTAGAGACCCAGGAGAGTTGATGGTGTAGTTCCTGTCTGAATGCCAACAGGCTCAAAACCTAAAAAATGCTGATGTTTCAGTTCAAATATGATGGCAGGAAAGAACTAGTGGTCCAGATTGAAGGCAGTCAGGTAGGAGGAGTTACCTCTTACTCCTGAGAGGGTCAGCCTTTTGGTTCTGTTCAAATCTTCAACTGATTGGATGCAGCCCACCCACATCAGGGAGAGCAATCTGTTTTCCTCAGTCTACCAATTCTCATATTAATCTTATTCAGAAACACTTTCAGAATAGATACATCCAGAACGATGTTTGACCAAACTGGGCACTCTGTCATCTAGTCAATTTGACACATAAAATTAACACAAGTCCAGCCCTTGTCAAGTTGGTACTATACACGTCTCTTAAAACCATAACAACTCTCCAAATAAAGACAACAACAAGGTCATAATTCCACCTAACATGTTTCAGCTATCCTGCATACAACCGAGAATGTACCAATCCCTTTCCCCTAAGAGGACATAAAGTTCTTGGGTGATGTTTACTCTTCTCCTTGATATCTTGTAACTTAAATACTATCAACATCAAAGTAATAATACTTAAACATACTGATATAAATTCAGCACATCTTATGTCACATGAGACAGGAACAAGAGAGGAAAGAATACAAAGACATACAAATTCATAACAAAATAAGGAAGAAATACTCATTATTCATGACAATTACAGTCCTCATCTGTAACTGGTCACATGCTTATACTTGGTATTTATAACTACCTTTTCCACTATACATTTCATATTCCCTTTACCTTCAGCAAGCACCTCAGCTGGTCATGGTTCTTTATCTGATGGTGTGGTCTAAACCTTCATTCCTAAAGGATCTGGGCCATTAGTAGTCATGCCAGGACTGGTTGCTATAGTTTTCAATTGACATTAATCACAAGGAATGTTATTACCAAGACCCCTAAGAGAGCTCCTGTATTCCAGAGATATCTTTCTTACCTCCATTGTGGATTAGTAATCTAATTTCCCACTGGCAGTAAGGATCAGTCCCCAGAGCCTGTGCAGTACCTCCCTTCTTTTCCTATTATTCAGAGGAATGAAGAGCCCAGAGTGGCTTGGTGGCAGTCTTATCTTTCAGTGGAATGAAATCATTGTTGTGTGTTGATGGAAGCACTTCTCCCTTTGGAACTAAGATCTCTAGGCCAGTAGTAGGCCACCCATTTCTACTTCTTAATTCCTAGAGCCATGAATGCTGGCTATTGGAAAAACAGCACCATAAAATGAATACTGATTCAGAGCATATACAGGTTTCTAGAAAACCTTGCCCAGCCATGTAAGATACTGCCACCTAGATAGTGCTGTAACTTAGTCTTCAAAGACCATTCCACCATTCTATCAAGCCAGTTGCTCAGGATTGTGGGGAACATGATAAAACCAGTGAATTCCATGAGCATTGGGGCATTGCTGCATTTTGATATGAAGTGAATTCCTTGATCAGAAACAATTCTGTGGGAAATACCACGATGGTATTACCATTTTGTTAAGTTCATGGGTAATAGTTTCAGTACAAAAAATACATGTAGAAGGGAAATCTATATTTAGAGTAAGTGTCTAGTCCACTAAGAACAAATTACTGTTCCATTCTGATGGAAGCAGTTCAATGTAATCAACTTGCCACCAGGCAGCTGGCTGATCGTGTCAGGGAATGGGGTCACTGGAGGCTCAGTATAGGTCTCTGCTGCAGGCAGATTGGGCACTCAGCAACAGCTGTAACAAGGTCAGCATGGTGAGTGTAAATCTGTTACTGAGTCCATGTATAATCTTCATCCATGTCACCATGGCCACTTTGTTCATGAGTCCACTGGTTGATGGCAGGGGTAACTGGGGAAAGAGGCTAACTGGTATCGACCAAACAGGTCATCCTTTCCACTTGATTATTAAAATCCTCCTCTGCTGAGACCACCTTTACATTATTGATGACTAGTGCTCTCTACTACTGGAAATAGAGTCCTTAGCATCTTTAAATCTAATCAGATTAGAAGTGAGGTGGGGACACCATGGTGCAGGGACCTGAATGCTAAGAAGATCCTGGTGGCTCTGGGGCTCTAGACACAGTTCCAGGCAAGCTGCTTCAACCACATGAAGATGGGCTTTGTGATGGGCTATGCAGCGTGCATGGTAGCCGGGGTGTTCTTCAATACTTCTTCCTGTCTCAGGATTGGAATGTGAGGTTGGGAGCTGATGCACAGAATTGGAAAAACCATCATGCAGAGCAGTGGCACCTTTAGCATATTCATGGCCACTGGGATGGGCATCCAGTTGTGGGAGCCCGACAGTGACCACAAGAAAGCATGGTTAGGGACGCGGGGATGTGCCTGCACACAGGGCTCCCTGCCTGGGCAAAGCATGCCTGCAAACAAGATGCTCTGCCAGGAGGCCTGCACACAATATCCAAGTTTAATGGTCCGTTCGCAAACGAGGGAACATGCCTGCCTTAGAAATAAGGAGGAGGCTGGAATTGTGAGCAGGCCTCTTAGTAAACATGTTGTGGTCGCTTCCTCCCTTTGCTCCCCCCTGTCCTTGAAATATGTTTGGCTACTTGCCCTTAATTGGTAAAGGAATGCATCTTGTAGGTTTCAGTTTGTATCCAGTTACCGGGGTATAAAATAAAGCGCAAGAGGGGCGTGCGTAGAATTGTTCCTCCGGCCGGAGTTGTGTCTGTGTCTGTCTTTTTGTGTGTGTCTTGTCCTTTGTGTCATTTCGTCCGCAACATCCAGTACTAATCTGGACCATGGTTGCCCACTACATCTACCACTTCCCATTATTCCCAGCCCATGTACTATAATAATACAAAAGTCTTTGAGTAAAATAAATAAATAAAATAAATTAAATCAGATTACAGAGTCAATTCCAGACACTCAGAACCAATTCAGAAAAACCATCCTTAAAAATTCTGTTCTTCTAGAATCACTCTCAATACCAAAATCTCTAACAGTCAGGGTTCTCCAGAAAAACAGAATAGGGGGTGTGTGTGTGTGTGTGTGTGTGTTGAGGGAGGCGTGGAAGGAAGAGAGACTCTGACAGACTGATTTGCTATTAGGAATTGGCTCATGTGATTATGGAGACTGATGACTCCCCAGGTCTGCAATCAGCAAGCAGGAGACCCAGGAGAGCTGATGGTATAGTTCCAGTCTGAATCTAAAGGCCTGAAAACCAGGAGAGCAAATGGTGTAGTTCCAGTCCAAATGATGGAAGGCTCAAGATCCAGAAAGAGCTGATGTTTCAATTCTAGTCCAGAGACAGGAAAAAGTGATTCTAGAGGTAACCCTCTCGCTCCCAGAAGGGTCAGTCTTTTTGTTCTACTCAGGTCTTCAACTGGACCCCACTCAAAACTGATTGGATGGATCCATCCACACTAGGAAGGGCAATCTGCTTTACTCATTTACCAGTTCAAATACATGTCTCATCCAGAAACCCTCACAGATACACCCAAAATACTGTTTAAACAAATGTCCAGTACTCTGTAGCCCAGTCAGGTTGACATCTAAAATTAACCATCACAGATACTAGCTTTTAATCCTGACAAGTAATACATGTATCTTATTTACATGAGAAATTCTGGCCGACCAACAGAGATTCAGTATTACAAAGACTAATGTTCTCTATTAACATTACCTCTGATTTATCATATACTCTTCAAGTATAAAATATGATCTTTCTCATTCTATGTAATAAATCATTATGGAGTCTCATTTAAGGTAAAGAACTTCATTTTAGGGATATTTCAAGGAACTTTAAATATGGAAAAGTATTTTTAAGTTTTTTCATACCCATATATATTTTGATATTTTACATATTAGCTCAATAACAGAGCAAAAACCATAGTCTGTTTTACATACTTGATTTGTGAAAACCTGTTTTCTTTAAAGGAATGAAATTTTAGTTGGGAAAGTAAAATAAATTTTCCATAAAGTGACCTCAAATACCTACTGTTTCATTTCATGTTATGACATCATAGTCAATGTTGTTATACAGAGACAATTATTGAAATGCTTTCATTTTTTGCTATTTAATTTGATTATATCCAAGTGACTAGTTTTTATATTATTTGTATTTCTTGATTTCCTCCTTTCTACACCATGATTATCAAACTAGCTGTTCCTGCTTCCATCAGAAATGAAATAAGAAAAATATATATGCTATGGTATGATTTTACAACCTAAAATTGTTTAGAGAGCTTTCTGTAGGCACTTGTAAAATCCAATCGTGATAAATATATAAAGGATACCTCAAAAAAGGACTAAGAATTAATACACTTAAAAGAGATAGAGAAGTATACCTTTAGGCTCAGCAGATATTCACAAACAGCATAACAAATGCCAATACCTTCTTCTGTATTAGTACCTCTGCCAAGTTCATCAATTAATATGAGTGATTTGTTATTAGCATTATGTAGAATGTATGCTATCTGAAAAATATAATTTTAATGTTATTCATTATAACCAAACAGCTGTCACTACCCTTTTAAAAAATGAGAAAAAATCCAGGCTCTTAATTCATTTGAAACATATTTTTATAAAGATATCCTGGTAGGTGGAAACTAACACACTGCTTTTCTTCTAAAAAAATCTCATGACTAATAATTTCAATAGAATAACTGATATGTTCATAAACAGACACATGCATTTGTGCTGAGACAACACAGAGTAAATAATCATTATCTAAAATATTGATGTTTTAGACAGCGTAAAATAAACTACACAATGAATTAAATATCTAAATAAAGCACACAGATGGCCATTTTCTTCTCTCAATTGTCATAACACACTCAAAACTATTTTTCAAATTTAACATCTCTCTAGATAGTAAAGGGAGAAAAATTAAAGAGAAAGTATCCAAGCCCATTGATTCATATGTAAACAAATAAATTTAAATCCATGCTCAACAAAGACTAACTCTGACAGAAATGCTACTTCTCACCTGAAGAGTATTAACCTCTTTCTCAAAAAATAGAATTCCACCCGCATTATGTCCTGACATAAAAGTAAATTTCATGGCCATTTTACCTTTCTACGGGGCTAAGCTTCTTGAGAGCTAGGACCATTTAAAAATAAATCTCAAGCACCTAGTATATTGCTATATTCTCCCATAGATACTCAATACATATTAAATAATTATGTAAAAGTCATGCACAGTGGCATAAGTAATAACCATTCTCCCCCATCTACAAAAAGTTATCCAACTCTACAGTGATCCATTAATTCCTACCTACTGAAGATAGCCCAAAAGCTATACTGAATTCCTTTAGCCCTTCAAGTCAACTTCGCATCTGCTCATATCAGAAAAAGGTGAGGACAACTACATTTTTATACAAAGTGAAAATTTTAAAGGGGCACACAGGATGATGATTTCTAAAAGCATCCAGTGATCTTTTATTTTAAAATCAAGCCTAACAGGAATGATGGACACTATGCAAAATGGTCTTGAACAGGTCATTGTTTTCTGAAAAGTCTTTCATATATTCAATGTAAAAACATGAAAGTATGTTTTTGTTCAATAATACTAGCTTTTTCTCTAAAACTGTATTTTTCAGTAAAACCTCTTCCATTTCCACATAAGACATAAAGCAGGAAGCTGTCTTTGACTGCCCTCTGCCTCTTGTAGAGGAGTATAAGCACATCTGCATGTTCTGGTATAAGGATACTTTCTTACATAAAAACTGGTCATTAGTGGAAAAATTTAACATGGGTTTAAAATAAGAAAAGTTTAGTTTAGGTACCTCTTTCATTTCCTTCATGAATGTTGATGAATTTGTTTCAATATCGTCATCAGTACTGATTCTTGTAAAAATCTGTTCAGCAATTCTAAAGGAAGCATATTCTGCTGGAACATATGATCCTGGAAAATATAAAGTCAAAGTAAACTGAAACGCTTTAAAATATAAGTACTAATATTTTGCACTTTTTACCAACTCATTACTTATTGCCTAGTCTAAGGATTTTGTAGTAGAAAGATCGCTGGATGTAGAGTTAGACTACATGGTCCCAGCTCTGTCACTTATTGTATATCCTTGGGCAGCAATTAGACTCTCCCAGTCTCATCGTTCTCATATATAAATGGAAATACTTGCACTTACTATTGTACAATATTATTTGGAAGTTCAAATAATATAGCATAAATTCAAGTACACTAGAAATATTATAAACTTGGAACACCTGGATGGCTCAGTCAGTTAAGCCTCTGACTCTTGATTTTGGCTCAGGTCATGATCTCACCATTTTTGAGTTTGAGTCCTGTGTTGGGCTCTATGCTGACAGTGTAGCCTATTTGGGATTCTCTCTCTCTCCCTCACTCTCTGCCCCTTACCCTTACTTTCTCTCTCTCAAAATACATATAAATAAACTTAAAAATATATTGGCTTTAAAAAAAGAAGTATTATAAGCTTCATAAAAATTTTAATATAGTTAGATGAAAAAACATTCAAAATACGAAAATTTGAAGGAAATGCTTATGAAGCCTAAGTTGATATAATTGTTACAGAAAGATGTACTAGGAAATATGTTATTAGAAACGTATAGAAATACCCAGAATTAGAATGAAAGCAAAACATTTAATTCTTTTAAAACGTGAATTTTCATGAGACTATTTCTGCCTGCAAAGTTATCATGTTAACTAATCTAAAATATTCACCCTTTGAAAGCAAATCAATCTGATTAATGCACCTATCTCTGTAGAGAATGGGACATAAAAGGCATTCCAAAATCATAAGAAGATGAAAATATTCAATGGGGAAAGTATCAAGCATATAGAACAAAATGTTGAAATAATGGGAGTGAAGAAACAAAACCCTGATTATTCCAGGATTTAAAACCAAGATAAGGATGAAGAATAGGGTAATTCTCTAAGGAAAAAGGACTAGCAGGAAAAGAGAGCATAAGTCAGGATAAGACTACTAGAAATAAAATTAACAATAATAACAATAGTGATTAGAATGATCACACCTGGAAAGTAGATCTCTTAAATACAGCATACTCACAGGAATTCTGGAAGGATCAGTTGGAAAATAAATGTGAAAGTCCCAGGTGGAGGATACAGCATATATGGTATGCATTTGTATTTTCTCCTTAGTTCATTTGTATTTACCTTCACCAAAAAGGCTCTACGTTTTTTGTTGGTTTTTTTTTTTAATCTAAAGTATTACAGAAGCCCCCCACTGATATCTTGCTTCTGGTCTGGCTCTCATCTAACCATACATCAGCCAAAGTGATCTATCCAAAAGTCAAATACAATCGTGCCATTCTCTTGCTTAAATTTCAAAAGCTCCCTTTAGATTTCTGGATAAAGTTCAATCTCCTCAGTGAAGTACCTAAGGCCCTTCATGATCTGGATCTTGCCCTTGTCTCTGGCTGTGTATCTTACCACTCCTCACAGCCACTCTTTGCTCTACAAAGGAATTAAAACCTCTAGATATCTTGTACTTCCTTAGGCACACCATACTGTTTTTAGAACATCTTCTTACTCTGCCTAGAAAGTCTCCTTCTTTCTTATACCCTTACCTTATATCCATCATATTTTATATACATTATTTCACTTAATCATTACAACAATTCTTAGAATTAGGTACTATTATAATTTTCACTTACAACCAGGAAAACTAAGGAAATTAAGTAATTTGCTTAAAATCACACAGCTAGTAACTCGACAAGCTAGGTCTAGCTCCAAAGCCTATGTTCTTAATTTCCATGCCTTTCAAGTTTTACTATTTCCTTTACAATCAGATTATGTGAGATACTATATATACTTCTAGGTATTTTAGAGGTTTAAAATGAGTGACAAGAGAAGAAGAATAATTTTCTTCTAATATTTGAGAGGTTATTATCAAAAGAGACTAGGTTATTCTATGATGCATAAAAGAATTAGGACTAATGAGTAGAAATTATAGAAAGTCAGATTTCAATTCTATAGTATAATGAATGCTCTATAATTAGAATGTCCAACAAGTGCATAGCCTGTTTTTTTAAAGGACAGAGCTCCTCACAACTATTCAAATACAAGTCAAGATTATTATGTCACATATGAATCAGAAGACTAAAATGTCCTTTTCAATCCAATGAAACCATAAACCTAATAAAATATTTACTCTTCATTCGTTCATATCTGATTTTCCTTCCCAGTAATAAGTGTAAATCTGCACTACCAATATTATTGCAGTATTCCCCTTACAATTCATTACATTAGGCCAGGGTTTCTCAACCACCACGTTACTAACATCTTGGGCTGGATAATTTTTCTTAGGTTTGTTGAGGATTCGGAGGAGAGCAGGGAGAGGAATGTCTTGTGCATCATAGGATATTCAGCAACATCCCTGGACTCCACACTCCTCTAGCTGTGACAACCAAAAATGTATCCAGATCGTCAAATTTGTGGGAGTAGGGGGATGGGGAAGGGAGGCAAAAATCATCCCTGGTTGAGAACCACTGCATTAGGGCAAATCATCTCATTTCTGATTCATAGAGTTCTCTAGGAAACCTAGTTTTCAGAGTTAAGTTGTGCTTCCACACTAAGAAATACATGGCAATATTAGGCTAATGACAGTCATTTAAATGCATGTATGTGCTCACATAATGTGTTAATGTATCAACTGCTGTGCCCAAGTTACTGGTAGCCTTTAATTAAGTAAAAGATGTTTCTCTCCCCAGTGTTATAATTTGGTAAAAATCTTACATGAGTTATTAAAGGCAGCAGATTATCCTACTTCAGTTTTTTACAACAAAGTTCAGTTTTCAATCAGAAAAAATGATATGATTCAGTTTAGTAATAATTGATACAATGTTAACAGTTATAGTAAGGTAGTTTTGACTTCCGTTACATCCAACAAAATTTTTAGTGCAGTACAATCCAAACTGGATGGAGTTTCGTCAATAGCAAACAGCAAAAGTTACTTTCTGCATAATAGGCACTTATACTTTTAGGTAAGAAAACCTACTCAAATGTCCTCAGGTTAATTAGGCACCAGGCACAAAACATTTTAAATGGGCAGCAGAATTGCTAAGTATAAAGTAAAGCCATAACTTACCAATCTGGGCCATAATCTGACAAAGAGCAATCTGTTTTAAATATGTGGATTTCCCACTCATATTAGGTCCGGTTATGATCAAAAAATTACTTCCTTCTGTAATAAAGGTATTGTTGGCAATAGGTTTTTCCACAGATATTTTTTCAAGAATGGGATGCCATCCCTGTTTGATTGCTAAAGTATCAGTAAATTCTGGCCGAACTTAAAAAAAAAAAAAAAAAAAGAATTGTAAGATTAATATATTTAATGACCTGTGGTGTTGTACATGTGATTTTACTAGGGTCAATATGGGACAATAACATTCAGGTATTATTTTATCCTAACCCCTACTGAAGTCCCTCTAGATTATAATAAACACATTCTAATCACCATCCAAACTTTTACTCACTTCCAGGGAACTCTAGGATTTAGTTCCTTGTCATTGTTCTGAACTCCAAAACAATTCATAACATTTTCAAATTTGTATAGATTAAAAAAAGTCAACTAGTCGTTGATAATACTTTTAAATAACAATTACCAGTACTACAAAATTGCACGTTTACTTAATTCCTACCTTAAGCATTATTTCAAATTTGACATACTTAGCATTTCAATATGGTATGAATACAGAGTAAAACCAAATATAAAAATAATTTTATGTCCAAACCCTTATAGAAATTTTGCCTAAAACGAACACCCAGATGATAGGCAAAACAGACACAAAATGTATAGTTAATTTATAGAAACAAAGGTAAAGGGAGAAAAAAAAAAAGGAGTGACGACAAGTAAACACTAAAATCCTACGTGCCTCTGGAGGAAACACATGGATAAACACAAAAGTATTCATAATAAAAGGTCAAAAAATTGTTTTTGACACCCTTATAATGAAGTTTAAGGGTAATTTTACTTTTTTTCATTTTGAATCTTAGTCTAAGACCACAGGCAAGTGACTACATTTCAGGTTTAAAGAAATATAAAACATTCATTATTATATAAAATTGCTTGAATGGTATACAAATTTCAGTATGTAACATATTTATCCTAAAGAAAGTAACCTACCATAGTCAGAAAGTGTGCAGGCATGAGCAAATGACAGTAGCATATCCAGCATTGACACAGTGTCAGATAGTTTATATAAGCAATGAACATGTTCATAAATCTCACTAAGCAATTTGCACACTATCCTGAAAGAATATGTTTGGTAAGTCAGGTAATGCTTTTAAAAAGGAATATACAATATAATTATTAAACAATATTAAATTCATTGCAAAGGTAAAATAGCATTCACAGTTCAGTTGTACACTACAAATAAAGTCTATTGTTCTTTTTTCTCATTTTAGAAATTAATAAATTGAAGTTCCTTGAGTTCACAGCACTTAGTAGCAAGAATGCATCTTCTGTGGGCACCTGGGTGGCTCAGTCTACAAGAGTCAAATATAAGAGTAGTTTTGACTCTTGATTTCAGTTCAGGTCATGATCTCACTGTTTGTGAGATTGAGCCCCACGTCAGGCTCTGTGCAGAGCCTGCTTGGGATTCCCTCACCTTCTTTCTGTCCCTCTCCCGCTTGTGTTCGTTCTCTGTCTCTCAAAAATAAATAAACATTTTAAAAATGTTTAAGGGGTGCCTGGGTGGCTTAGTCAGTTAAGCGTCCGACTTTCGCTTAGGTCATGATCTCGCGGTTCGTGGGTTCGAGCCCCGCGTCAGGCTCTGTGCTGACTGCCAGCTCAGAGCCTGGAGCCTGTTTTAGTCTGTGACTCCCTCTCTCTCTGACCCTCCCCTGCTCACGCTGTCTCTCTCTCTCTCTCCTAGAAATAAATAAAATATTTTTAAAAAAATGTTTAAAAAAAGAATGTACCTTCTGGTGGGTTAACACTATGTTTTTGAAATTATTGCTGTTATTAAATAAGAATAAAATGAATTTTCATTAATAAAATTATTTTTATAGTCAAACAGGCCCTTACTATACTACTACAACAGATCCCACCTGCTAATAATTTTGTTTTTGCAAATGTGAAATTCAACACAAAGGTTATATATTTTCTGTTCTCTCACTCACTCTCTCCACCCCACTCCCACATACACACACCCTAACAACATAATTATTTAAGCTTTTATGTGGCAAAGTTATTATACTGTGATATAATATAAAAGATTTTCCTTCAAGTGCCTAGCTGATTCAGTTGATAGAACATGTGACTCTTGGTCTCAGGGTTGTGAGTTCATGCCTCATGTTGAATGCAGGGATTACTTTAAAAAAAAAGTTTTTCCCTTATAAGATGAAATATGTTCCGCAAACCTACTCTATGCCATAATCTCTGTGGTCTATGTGCTGAAATTGTTTTGAAAGTCCAATATTTGTCTTTATCATTTCAGTTCACCAATTATGAATGATCAATTTTTTTGCCCCCATCCCCCCTGAATGATCTATTTTTTATTTCTAGTTGTATTGCTACTGTTCCATGAACAGCAAGAGACTGACACTATTGTGATACACATATATATGTATGCCATGAGAAGTTGAGAGCTTACATACCATAAGAATAAACTCAGTTAAGCCCAAGATAAGTCCATGATGTGTCAAATTCTACATCATGGTGCAATGCATACTATAGAGGTATCAGTTATAATATGTATATATTTGTTTTTTGCAATTAGATTTTCCCAAATCTTCTATGAGGCTGAGTGATCCCAATCACAGTAACAGACCTTAAAAGTTCTAATTGTTCTTCCGGAAGATGATCTTTCTTTGCTAACATTTATAATTTTACAATTTTCTGTAATCAGAAAAAGAGCCAATTGATGAAATGTATTATAATGTCTAATATTAATATTCAAATATTCAAATATTTCCAATGTGCTTACATATAAGTCATATGATAGATTTCTCTCAAAGACTCTTGACATCTTTCATTCATTTTAATTAAATCTGCTGATGTAAAGGTATAAGAATTTTTCACTTTAGATATCTGCTAGGAAATGAAAAAACAAATGTTAAGATATGTGTACACTCCTATAAAATGAAATATACAGTGTGGTTTTGATTTGTATTTTCCCAAACCACACTGAGACACCACCTCACGCCGGTCAGAGTGGCTAAAACGAACAAATCAGGAGACTCTAGATGCTGGCAAGGATGTGGAGAAACGGGCACCCTCCTACACTGTTGGTGGGAATGTAAGCTGGTGCAACCCCTCTGGAAAATAGTATGGAGGTTCCTCAAAAACTTAGCAATAGAACTCCCCGATGACCCAGCAGTAGCTGGGAATTTACCCAAGGGATACAGGAGTGCTGATGCATAGGGGCACATGTACCCCAATGTTCATAGCAGCACTCTCAACAATAGCCAAAACATGGAAACAGCCTAACTGTCCATCAACTGACGAATGGATCAAGAAGATGTGGTTTATCTATACCATGGAATACTACATGGCAATGAGAAACAATGAAATCTGGCCATGTGTAGCAACATGGATGGAACTAGAGGGTGTTATGCTGAGTGAAATAAGTCAGGCAGAGAAGGACAGATACCATATGTTTGCACATATATGTAGATTAGGAGGAAGTTAACGGAGGACGAAGCGGGAGAAGAAAGGGAAAAATAATTGGGGAGAGGGAGGGAGGCAAACCATGAGAGACTCCGGAATGCTGAGATCAAACTGAGGGCTGAGGCAGGCTGGGGGAGAGGGGAAGGGGGGTGATGGGCATGGAGGAGGGCACTTGTTGGGATGAGCCCTGGGTGTTATATGGAAACCAACTTGACAATAAACTGTTATAAAAAAAAGAAATACCTATTCTTTACTTTAATAAAAATATGCATTTCTAGGTAAAAACTAAAATAAAATATACAGATTTTAAACTGTATATTTATTTAGGTTAATCACTTTAATTTTTGAGATAAAGCATCATAAAGGAAGTCTCAAATAATGTCTGCAAAAAAAGAAAAGATCACTTCTAAAGTTAAAGTAGGATTTTTTAACCTAGTCTCTTCTGGCACAACTATTTTTACAGGTCTTAAAATTAAAACAGCCATATAGAAATGTTAAATGGTACATTTTATCACCAAGTAACATGCATGACAGATGTAACTTTCACTCCCTCTCTCACACACTCCCTCTCTCACACTTCTTAGCCTTTGCCCCACATAGGAACCTAACTCAAACTCTAACTCCATTACTATGTCTCCACCCATTCTTTACTTCATCTATCCCCTATTATTTAGTATTACAGTGTGTATTTTAAAATCCTGAAAGCTAAATGGTTTGTTTTGCCAAAAGTTACCCCTGAGAGCAAGGAAAGCAAAATTAGAGTGTGTTAGACTTTTGCAAACTGGTGTATTCTGGGGAAGATAATGTGTATTTAGGAAAAAAAATATTTCCCTGGTGCAAAGGTTTGGCAATACTGGATTTTAAAAAGTTAAGCAGATTTCTTCACTTCAGGATTTTTAAACCTTTATAAGGCAAATATGCACTGAGAACTACCTAAAACAGGAGATGGTACAATATTTTCCAAATTCCTTTGATCAAAAATATCTTTGAGCTTTCCTTTTATCATTTTCCTTTTTTTATACATACCAAGCTTCCAGAACTGTGAATGTACTGTTTGGGGTTTCTCAAAAATAAACAAATAAAAGGTTTCTACATCACTCTTAGATTAATATAACTCTTAGGTGTGGGCTAATAGGAGTAGAAGCAATATACAGAACATTCAGAAATTTGGCATGTAAAATTCAAGGAACATCTGAAAAATGTAAAGTGTAATTCTGCTAAATCAGAAACAGTAATTTCCTAGCCAACACGTTAAACTGAACCTTAATAAACTCTGAAGGAAGTTGATTATTGGGAAGAGCTGTACAATCCATAGTCATCTGGATGAAAAATCCTCGAGCAGAGCTAAAACTTGTCCTTAAAGGAAGACTGTATTTTTCTGCAAGCTGCGATATCATTCCTAGTAACCAGAAACAAGAAAAACAGAAAGAATTTTAGTGAGAAAATTATTTACTGTTTAAAAAAAACATATTTTATTATTATTTTATATATAAATATGAAGGTCTTGCTACTCTTAAACTATAAAGACTTTTAATGTCTAACATAACATATTTAAGCATTCTTTTAAGAAAAAAAATGGTGGTACAAAGGTTGACATTTTGATAGGTACTTCGAAAGTAAAAAAAAATTGTAAAAATTAATATAAAAAGTAAAACTAAGACTATTTTATACTCTGTATTAGAATATTAGATTTTTTCATTTGTTATTCATCAACTTTTTCAAAAAGGAATAGAATCATCATATAAATTATTACAATCATTAGTTCACAATAAGAAATTCTCTCCACAAAACATATTTTGCAAAACAAAATATTCCAAAATAATGGGTGATACAAATAAAATTCCTAAAACAATCAAAATCTTCCTATCAACTTCAAACTTACCACAGAGTTATAAATATATGCATATATTTTTTAATTTAAATCCAAGTTTAACATATAGAGTTATAATGGTTTCAGGAATAGAATTTAGTGATTCTTTCTTTACATATAACACCCAGTATTTATCCCAACAAGTGCCCTCCTTAATGTCCATCATCCATTTAGCTCACTCCCCACCCACCTCCTTCCAGCAACCCTGTTTGTTCTCTGTATTTAAAAGTCTCTTATGGTTTGCCTCCCTCTCTGCTTTTATCTTATGTTTCCTTCCCTTCCCCTATAGATGTTTTGTTTCTTAAATTCTACATATGAGTGAAATCATATGATATTTATCTTTCTCTGACCAACTTATTTCACTTAGCATAATACATTCTAGTCCCATCCACGTTGTTGCAAATGGCAGATTTCATTCTTTTTGATTGCCAGGTAATATTCCACTATACACATGCACGCACACACATACACACACATGTATATCCACTATGTACATACCACATATCTTTGTTACCCATTCATCAGTTGATGGACATTTGGTTCTTTCCATAATTTTGCTATTGTTGATAGCACTGCTATAAACATTGGTGGTGCATGTGCCCCTTCGAATCAACATTTTTGTATCCTTTTGGTTACTACCTAGTAATGAAATTGCTGGGTCATAGGGTAGCTCTATTTTTAATTTCTTGAGGAACCTCCATACTATTTTCCAGAGAGGCTGCACCAGTTTGCATTCCCACCAGGAGTGCAAGAGGGTTCTCCTTAGTCCACATCCTCATCAACACCTGTTGTTGCCTGAATTATTCATTTTAGCCACTCTAACAGGAGTGAGGTGGTATCTCATTGTGGTTTGATTTGTATTTCCTATTTCTTCACTGGATTATTTGCTTTTAGTGTTGAGGTTTATAAGTTCTTTAGATTTTGGATATTAACCTTTTATCTGATATGTCATCTGTAAATATCTTCTCCCATTCTATAGGTTACCTTTTAGTTTTGTTGATTGATACCTTTGCTATTCAGAAGACTTTTATCTTTATGAGGCCCCAATAATTCATTTTTGCTTTTGTGCCCTTGCCTCTGGAGACATGTCTAGTGAGAAGTTGCTGCAGCCAAAGTCAAAGAGATTGTGGTGTTTTCTCCTCTAGGAGTTTAATGGTTTCTTGTCTTACATTTAGGTCTTTCATGCATTTTGAATTTATTTTTGTTTATAGTTTAAGAAAGTGGTCCAAGTTCATTCTTCTGTATGCCATTGTCCAGTTTCCCCAACACTATTTACTGAAGAGACTGTGTTTTCTTCATTGGATACTCTTTCCTTCTTTGTCAAAGATTAACTGGCCACACATTTGTAAGTACATTTCTGGATTCTCTATTCTGTTCCATTGATCTATGTGTCTGTTTTTGTGCTAGTACTGTACGGTCTTGATGATTATAGCTTTGTAATACAACTTTTGAAGTCTGGAATTGTGATCCCTCCAGGTTTGGTTTTCTTTTTCAACATTACTTTGGCTATTTGGGGCCTTTTCTGGTTCCATACAAATTTTAGGATCATTTGTTCTAGTTCTATAAAGAATACTGGTGTTCTAGTTTTGAGAAGTATGCTGGTGCAATTTTGATTGGAATTGCATTGAATGTGTAGATAGCTTTGGGTAGTAATGACATCTTAACTATATTTATTCTTCCTATCCATGAGCATGGAATGTTTTTCCATTTCTTTGTGTCTTCTTCAATTTCCTTCATAAGTTTTCTATAGTTTTCATCATATAGATCTCTTATATCCTTGGTTAGGTTTATTCCGAGGTATTTTATGGTTTTTTGTGCAGTTGTGAATGGGATCAGTTTCTTGATTTCTCTTTCTGTTGCTTCATTGTTGGTGTATAAAAATGCAACC